GAATACATCTAAAGAATATTTTGAGAGTTTCTCATCTCATGAGATGTTATAAGAACTAAAATCAAGTTTATATATATATGTGTGTGTGTGTGTGTAACAGGATTGTTGACAACATGCCAGTGACTTGGTGCTATAATGTTGAAGGAGAGCAGAAGTACTGTTCAACTGGTTTTCCTATAGGCTGTTATGTAAAACCAGATGGAACACCTAAAGATGCTTGTGTTATTAATGTGAGTGATTAATTGGAAATTTTAATTATCAATATTGTCTTTTATTTGTCTGTAATTGGAAAATAAATTGTTTAATATTTTTCTATATAGTTGGTCTAAAAATGTTGATGTTATGGGTTTAAAGCAAACTATCATAGTTACAGGAATTGTAATATTTCTTTTGTGAATAAATTATCACATTATTATGCAAGGATGTCTGCCCAAAAACATTCTTTTCATGTCTTTTCCAAACTAAAGATTTATTTGACATAGTTATTTCCCATCATTAACTTGTGATTTCATTCAGTATTTTACTTTTTTTTTATCTAAATCATTTTATTAGAAGAGGAGAATACTTTTGTACTTGTAGTGACGTTAATTGCTCTTTTTTTACTGTGTTATAAGACTTGAGTCTAAATAGAAAAGTCTCATTAATCCTCTGTGTTTAATAAGATTATGCAAAAAAAGGAAACATTATACATTTATATTTTTCTCTACTTTGTTAGACTGCATTCAATAAACGTGATACTTACTACCTTTTCAATCATGTGGATATTGCAATTACCTACCACAGTGGAGATGGAGAAACCTGGGGGGTTAATTTTGGAGATAAAGGGGGCCGGATCACTTCTGTGAAGGTTGTACCCAAAAAGTGAGTTTATATGAGACATCTGTTGCTCTGGAGCAGTTTTGTGATATTTTTCAGAGAAATTCTTTGACATCAAGAAAAATAAAGATGTAATTACCCACTTTTAGAATACTATGAATTTGCTGAATATTTTATAGGAGCATTAGTCACATGAAAGTTATCATATACTTTGACAAATTAATTATTAGTAAGAGAATGAAAAAAAAATCCTTTATATTAAATATTTCTATTCCTATTTATTCCTGAATAAACAATAAAAAAATGCTCTTACTTCTTCCAATCAGTAATGATACTTGAAAATGATGTGCAAACTTGATTTATAAAACTATAACTCTGTTAAAAGTCTTTGCCTGTGAATTTCAGCATATTACTTTGTATACAGAGATATAATGCAATTTATTTAAAGAAATAAAATAAGCTTCACGTTAAAGATAAACCAGTTGTGCTGACTTTGGCAAAGATCGTATGATCAAAGTTTGTATACCACGGATAAGGAGGAAATCTTTAACAAGTAAAATGTCACTTTTTAATAAAAATTGACATGTAATATTTTTCTGTATGTTTGCATGACCGTTTATACTTCTGAACTGCATTTTAGCAGATTGTTCTCTCACTTATTTCTAATATGGTACTAAATAATTTTATAAACAACTTTTATCAGAAAAATATTGCAGCTTGCATTAACTTTTGCATATAGGTATGACATTTTATGAATATCCTTTAACCTTTACAGTATATGTGATAACTGTGCATCTGCCAGTTGGTGAGATACCTTTAAAAGTTATTCTTGTTAAGTTTCTTGGCATCAGATAGTTATCACTTCAATGAAAACACCATAGTCCTCAGAATCAAATTCTGTCAGTTCCCTTTAACTCTTTCTATATGGAGTCTGTGAATTCCACCAACCTTGTAACCACAAAGTAACCATCAGAATTTACATACTTTAACTTTTTACACTTTTGCTACGGGCATCTTTTTCTGCACGTGTCATGAGATTTTAGTAGTTACATTCAAAATATAATTAAAATACTTTCTTATCATGGTGTGTGAACAAAAATGGCATAAAAACATAGCTAATAATCCAAATTTTAATATATATATATATATATAAGTTTTAAGTTCTTAATTTTATAAGGCAATATAAAAAAAATACAGAATTTCCCATAGTATGATAATTGTGCCATTTTTCTTCTAGGCATCCCGTCTTTTCTAATTTATTTACTACCCCTCCAAGAAGTATGAAATTTAATGTAAGTTACTCATTGTAATGTTGTCATCACTCAGACAAAGCATAATTTTTATAGTCTTCAATCTTATTTAGTCACAGAGCTATAAAATAGAAAATCAGACTCTCTTGACATGTCCACCTGTCACTTTCTCTCATTCAGAAATTGCCAATAGTTCTCTCTGATGTTTGATACTATATATAGCCAATAGAAAGCCAAGGTTTTAATATATCAAATGATGTATTATACTACATTGTTTTCTCTACAGTAATTGTCTATTTCACTTCCAGTTCAAACTTTATTCCAATGGTAAACACATCAACAAGCTTAGCTGAATAAAAAAAACTGCTTTTGTCGCATAGTTAGAAAGCCAGAAAATGTGTGATAGTTTTCGGACAGTGTCTACTATTTGAATTTTATTATTCTGTGTTCTTTGGTGCATTATTTAATTAAATAAAAAAATCTTAGAGCAATAGTACTATGAGTATAAAAAAAGTATGGTTAAGTGTCATCAACAGTCAACAGCAAAACAAAAAGAAGATGCAGGTAGGTACTATATTTCTTGTTTTTCTTGTGTATTATGTATTTATTATTATAAAAGTAAATCAGATGTAAAAATGTGAAACTTTTTAGGTTAATTTAGGTAAAATATAGCATAATAATAATAATAATAATAATTTTTTATGTGGCATGCTTGCAAGCTACTTGCAAGTAGCCCATGTGTTATGTAATTTAATAGGGTAATGTGAGCTACAAATTTGCCAAATGACTTGCATCTTATATGGCATGAATATTAATTAGACATAGTTTAAAGCACAATAAAATGATAAAATTTATGTATAAACAAATGTATACTGTTACGAGTTTAAAGCTATTTGGGATAAACAAATGTGGCTTCATGTTACAGTTTGAAGTCATTCTAAAGAAAAAAGAAAGTAATTTAGATTTACTTCTTTTTGTGTGTGTGTGTGTGAGGGGGGGGTTACAAGGTCAGTCAAATTGAACAACCTTGTACAGATTTAGGGAAAAAAAATTGAAGAGGAAATAAAAGGTTTTACTGAAAAAAAATGACTGAAATTTATTTTTGAGGTCTTAGAGATTTTGAAAAAGAAATTCGAGATTTTTCAATTTTAACATGAAAATCACTTTGCACCCGGAGCAGTCAACACATCGACTCTATATATTCATGGTGAAAGTCTTCGTGAAAATACTTCATTAAAAATTAAATTTTTTTTTGTCTACAAATGACTTAATGATTATTGAAAGCTTGGAAAATGTCATGAAGATATACAAAACATATTAGAAGTTATAGTATGGGAATTATAAAGGTCTATTTGAGATCACTAATATAAAAGTCTGTTTGGGATCATGAACTTGGCTGATTCAACTGAGCCCGTAGTGAGAGAGTTAATATGATGTGTGTATCTTCATGAAATATGGTAAGCTTTTAGTAAATATTGTGAGTTTTGTACACAGAAAGTCAGATTTTTAATTAAATATTTTTGCTAAAGATTTGTCTGTGAATATATGGAGTCATGGTGTTGACTGTGCCAAGAAGTGCAAAGTGATTTTCATACTAAGATTAAAAATACATTTCTTCATTTGAAAACTTTCAAATTTCATTTGCATAACCTCTAAAACCTCCTAAATACGTACCAAACTTTTTCAGTAAAGTTTTATTCTAAATATTTTATTTGTTATTTTCTCTACTTTAACTTAATAAAGACACTCAAGTTGACCAACCTTGTAATTACCATAAAAAAAGAAAAATATTTAAATTACTCTTCTTTTCTTTCTAGAATGTCTGCAGGTTGTAACAGAAAACTATAGTTGTTTACCCTAAATAACTTAAGATGTATAACAGTTTACATATGTTTCTACTTAAATTTATAGTTTTATTGTCCTTTGAATGTATCTAACTAAGAATCCTGCCATACAAGTTGTAAATAATTTGGGGAATGTGTAGCTCACATTACCATATTGATTGATGTAATGCACAAGCTACTTGCGAGCATACCTCATAGAGAATTTTTATTACTATTATTATTTTTCATTATCTTACCAAATCTAACCTAATAAGTTTCTAATTTTTGTGTTTTAGTCACTTTTTAACAATAAATTAAAAATATACATGAAAAACAAGATATATAGTACTGACTTTTAACATCTTGTTTTTTTTTTGCTATTGGTTGGGAATGAAACTTAAGCCAATTTTGTTTATAATGTTGATACTAGTACACTGAATAATTTTTATTTAATTAAATAATGTACCTAAGAATACAAAAAAGTAGCACACACAAAGCAAAGATCTTTATATAATCCAGAATTTGGTATTTGCTTGACATCTAGCTTAAACTAACAAGGTAATGGTTGACTAAATCTAAAAGATTTTTGATTTTCTTGAATTGGCTTAATATTAATTGGTAAAAATACACTGTTAGTTTCTTATAACATCTAGCTTATAATTTTATGTAAATGCATCTTCTAATATATATGATTGAAATTTTAGTTTTAGTGGTATAACTTAAGAAGTTCTGTTTTCTCTTTTTAGTATTAAACATAGAGGGACAGGTGAAAAAGCTTGTAATTCTCCTATTGAACCCATGGGAATTCCTGGTAAAATGAAAAAAAATGATACCATAACTGTGAACTACACTTATTCTGTTTTTTTTTTGGTGAGTAATATCTAGTCTAGTTTTGTGGTACAGCTATTACTTACTGTTCTTTATAATCCAATATTATACATTTTTACATGTTTGTATCTTTTACTTTTATAAGCGATTCTGTATTTTACGAAGACATGAGCAGTATCATAAAGAACTAAAGATAGGAAAGTAGTGTGTAAGAACAGTGTACGATATGTTTAGATTTACACACACAAACACTCTGGGTAACAAAGAAAAAGTATTTGCAGAGTTACAATAATTAAATGTTTACCCATAAAATAGAGGCATCATGATGAAATAGTAAGCTAGATGAAATTAGATACTAGAATCTATGTCTAGCACCCATCTTATGTGAAGAAAAAGCAACTTGTCATTTATTATTTACCTCTAACAGAAGGACAATAGTGTGAAATGGTCATCTAGGTGGGATTATATTCTGGAATCAATGCCTCATACTAATATTCAGTGGTTCAGGTAAGTTATTGTGCCAATAATATGTGAAAAGATGTATATATGTTTAAAAATTCATTTTAGTAACTTTATGTGATACATTTGTTTGAGTTGCATTTAACATAGAGCACTTCTTTCAGGATATATTAATATGTGGTAAAGCTCCCCAACCTTCCACCATGAACAACATTAAAAACTGAAAACAAGGTGCAAGCCTTGTTGTTGACTAACAAGCGTATCTTGTTAAATTGTAAGCAGTTTTTGTGGTTCATGCAGAAAGCCACCCAAATACGTGACAAAGCAACTTGAATGTATAACATCATAGCAGTTGGTTTAGTGCAAAGTATTTTATATGCAATTAATTATGTAAGCACTGCAATTATGTTACTTTGAGCCAAAGTAGGGATATATTTTTTTAAGTTTTAAGTAACTCAGTTTGTAGTTTTTTACTTTCTTGATTCAATACTTTTTCTGGTATTAAAACTTTCTTTATTGCTATAGCTAGCTAGGTTACGTATATCTCAATTCCTACTTGTCTTGATAACACTTAAACATTTTTTATTATGCTTGTTTGTTCTCTTTTTATTAGCTATATGTTTTTGTGCACAAGCAATACCAAGCATTGGGAGCATGTATACCCAATTCAATTTTATTATTCATCAGGAAAAACAGCCAATGTGCTACCTTGGGCATATAATTTTGGGCAAAGTATATATATGTATATATATACTAGTATCCTTTTAGAAAGGAATCACTGGGAACCCAGATGGATGAGTTCTGTGTAAGAATTACAGAGATAAGATTCATAATTTTTTCTGTACACTTGTCTGGAAAAGTCATTACCTATTTATTTAGATGAATATTCATTGAAATACTGATATCTTGATTCACTTCATAAACATGTATATAGCAATTTAGGCAGCTTTATAAGCTTTAGTTTTGCTCAGCCAATACTGTGAAATAATCATTGTTAATATTCAAACATTTTAAGAGTGCTTATAGTATTTTGGCACTTGTGTATAAAGTTAAAATCATAAATAATACTCAATGTTAAACTGGTACACAATTAAAAACATTTAAATAAATAAAATGTTTTTAATTGTGTACCAG